AAATTATATTTGTTTTTTTGCTTTGTGCTTTAAAAAAAAAGAACTCCAGAACTTGTTCTTTCTGTATAAGGGCTTGTCTTTTTAATATTTAGTGGATTGTAAAATACAAACAGATGTAACACAATACAGGAAAAGTTAAAGACTGAAACAAAATAGTCTGAGTTAAATATAGCTGATAGTGAACAAAATACTAATAATTTTATTGCCTAAACACAGTTAAATAATCATAAGATAGTTCAAATAATATTAACTTTAGAACATCAATCTTTTAGATTTCATTGTCTTTGTAAAACTAAACTATTTCTGAAAAAAAGAATGTCAGTCCAAATTTTGTTACACCATTCATCATATTAGAGAAGTAGCAAAGCATTGATGAAAATTCTTTAAATTTTCATTTAATTGTTAAATATTTATAATAAAGCTATTTCTAATACAGGTACTCCTTGACTTACGACAATTGAGCCTAAAATTTCTGTTGCTAAGTGAGACAGTTGTTAAGTGAGTTTTGCACCATTTTACGACCTTTTGTGCCACAGCGGTTAAGTGAATCACTGTTGTTGTCAAGTTAGTAACATGGTTGCTAAGTGAATGACTTCCCCATTGACTGCTTGTCAGAAAGTTGCAAAAGGGGATCACGTGATCCCAGGATACGGCAACTGTTACAAATATGAACTAGTTGCCAGGTGTCTGCATTTTGATCATAAGATCATGAAAACGGTCATAATTGTGAAAAACAGCCATAAGACAAATTTTTTAGTCTTGCTGTAACTTTAACCAATCACCAAATAAACTGTTTTAAGTCTAGGATTACTTATAGAACTACTATATTGTAGGTGGGAGTTGTGACATTAATAAAATAATATTGAAGGTTCTAATTTATGTTATTCTCTATGTATGTACTTGTTGCCTCTATTACTTCATTGTTAGTTAGAAAGGTAATTTATTTCTTACCCAGTTGTAATAATGGACAATGTTGAACTATGTTTAACAGTTTTTATGCTTATGCATCTGCAGAAGACTTAGATTTAAGGACCGTATTTTTCGGAGTATAAGACGCACCTTTTTCCCTTTAAAAAGAGGGCAAAAATCTGGGTGCGTCTTACACACTGAATGCAGCATTTTTGGCCTCCCTAAACCTTCCTTTTGCAAAAATGGCCATGAATAGCCTTTAAGAGGCTTCCAGAGTGCTCCTGGGGGCTGGGCTGGGCAAAAATGAGTGAAAAATGGGCCATTTTTTGCTCATTTATGGCCCCCTCAGCCCCCAGGAGCACTCTATAAGCCTCCTAAAGGCTATACATGCCCCCCTTTTTTTTTGGCAAAAAACAGGGCTGTTTTTATGAAAAATGGGCTGTTTTGGGGAGGTCTGCAGAGTGCAAAAACTTTTTTTTTAAAAATTGCCTCTTCAAAATCTTGGTGTGTCTTATATTCTGGTGCTTTTTATACTCTGAAAAATACAGTATTCATTTCTGTGAAAGTATTTTTATAGGGCTATACATGAACTGACATTTTCTGAGCTGAATTAATTAAATGAATTAGTTGGATATAATGTTCAACATGCTTTGCAATTAGAAAAAAATGTAGATGTGTTATATACGTGTATAAATAACAAGAAATGTTGTTAATGTCCTCTATTTATATTTTGCTCTTTTACTAAGTTTTTGCAATGGCTAAGTTAGTATTTTCAAAATTAATTTTGTCTCTATATTTTTTTTAATGTGGGTGTTATTATTCTTTGAACTAAGTGTACTCTGCTGTATCAACAAAGCATATTTTCCTGCTATAATGATACATAGTGTGCAGTCTTAAAAAAATAGTTTGCTTCATAGTCTTAATTCTGTAGCCTCTCCTTCATAATGAATTTTTTAAAACGTAACCTTTTGTTCTTTTGAACTTCTTCCAATAACATTATTCAAAGACAATATCTCCATGTGGTAGGCATTAGATTATGTCAAGTAATCTTCTTTGATCAACCTATCTGCAGATCACTGTGCTTCTATAATACTTTTCTAAGAAATCATTACCCTACAAATACTTTAGAACTATATTTCAATCTAGAATGGAAATGTAATGTTTTTAAAATCTAATCTTACATTCTTCTTATTGTTAAAATTTAAGGTTTCCTATATTTTTTTCTAAAGACATCTAGGTATTTGGAGAAATTTTCAAGCTCAAAAGTAAATTGTTCTTTTTTTTATTGTTACATCAAAACAGCCTTTGTAGCTAATACCAAAAACAAAACAAAACAAAACATATAATTGTGTTTGATGCCATATTTTGTCTAGATCCATGATCTAAAGATTAGAAAACAGAACCATCCTCTATGATGAAGAGTAATAGAAATAGAAATATTTCTAAATAATTTAGATTGTTTTATAGTAATTTTCAAGCTATTAGCATGAGGTTTTTATGTTAAGAAACTAGAAGTATGTTCCTACACTTTTTAGTGCCTAGTGCTACCAATCATTTTAATATTAGTTCAAGCTCTGTGTATGTGATGGCATGCCATTGGAAAGCCTCCTAAAGCCTGGGAAGGGTGAAAACCGCTTTCCCACGGCCTCCGGAAGGCCGAAAATCAGCTGGCCAGTGCGCTCATGTGCATTGGAGTTGACATAGGGCAACGCCTTGCGTGCCCTCAGATATGGCTCTGTGTGCCATAGGTTCGCCATCACGGGTCTAGTAGTTAACACAGCAGCGTGCGCACCCTTTTGGCACCTGAGCAGAAAAATGTTCGCCATCACTGCACTATATCAAATATGGAAGATGCAAGATTATATTTAGACCCATACATCAAGTACAACCTCAACAGATCTCTCTGAATCCTTTGGTTTAGAATTATGAAGTAGACTTCTTGAACATGAGAACTTGAATATGGCAAAGAGCCTGGCTTTCTGAGAGACTGATTGTCTCCAATAGCTTCTGCCTGCTAAATGCATTCCAATAGAATGGCTGTGCTCCAAGTCCACCTCATTAAACATTTCCATCTTGTGGGACCTAGCCTGGGACAATGCTTATTATTTGTTTAATGGACCCTGATTTAGCTTGTTGATTTTGTTGTTTACTAAATAATTTAACTCTGGGTTGTCTGTATGGTTTTAGCAATTTTTACGGGGATTTTTTTGTAGGTTGTATGCCATTCCGAGGCAACGGGCAGCCAATAAATTTAAAGTAATAATAAAGTCCTTGTAAATGACTCAATAGGTGGATAAAAAGGCAAAATCAAGTCTAATTATCACTCTACCATGTTTCTCCGAAAATATGACATGTCCTGAAACTAAGGCCTTGCCACATTTTCCGCGTGGGCAAAAATATAAGCCCTCCTGAAAATAAGCCCCCTAAACAACCCCCCCCTCTGGCTAGGTAGAGCACCGCTCACCGACCTAGCAGTATCCCAAAGGCACCAAGCCGTGTAAGCTGGGGGAAAGGCGCTCACGTTGCTTGATGCCTTTGGGATACCGCTAGGTTGGGGAGTGGCATTCTGCCTGGCAGTAGGGGGGAGTTGCTGGGCAGCTGCTCCCTTGCAAGTGGGCTCCCAAAGGGCCGGGCACAGCCTCAGGGGTGAAGCAGCCATGAGGTGAGGTGACCACGTTCATGAGCAGCCACCCGGCAAATCCACTCTCCAGCCAGAAAGAGCGCCATTCATTAACCTAGGTGGTATCATTAAGATGCCAAGCCACGTGGCACTCTGCCCGCCCCCCAGCTCCCGCAGCATATTCTGGATACCCCCTCAGTGAATGGAGCTCTGCCCTGTTGGAGAGGGTGGTTATGCGAGTGCCTATTCCACCCCCGGCTCGCATGCCTCCCAGCCTCACCATGCCCTGACCAAGCTTTCCCTGCAGGGCCAGGGTGCTGGCACCGCTTTCACCGCCATCTCTGAGCATAACTTCTTCTCCGGCTTCCAAACTCCAGAACTCGCCCTTTGATTCTTGCAGCAGTGGCCACTCTAGGAGTGTGCTCTATGGTTATGGGTCCTATGGCAGCCGGCCCACAACCATAGAGCACATTCCTAGAGCGGCCACTGCTGCAGGAATCAGAAGCTGAGTTCCATAGTTTGGAAGCTGGAGAAGAAGTTATGCTTGGAGCGTGGTGGCAGCAGCGAAATCTGCAGGGGTGCCCTGGCCCCGCAGGGAGACCTGGGCCAGAGCATGGTGAGGCTGGGAGGCATTGCGAGCTGGGGGTGGAACAGGTGCTTTCACAACCACCCCCTCCAGCCGGGCAGAGCTCCATGCACTGACCTAGGGGGTATCCCGAATGTGCCAGGCCGTGGGAGCTGGGGGGCGGGCAGAGCGCCACATGGCTTAGCTCCTTAGGGATACCCCCTAGGTCAGTGAATGGCACTTTGCCCAGCTGGAGATGGGGGTTTGCCGGGCAGCTGCTCGGGAGCATGGTCACCTCATGGCTGCTTCACCCCTGAGGCTGTGCCTGGCTCTTCGCAAGCCCGCTCACAAGGGAGCAGCCGCCTGGCAACCCCAAAACAATAAGCCCTCCCCTGATAATAAGGGCCAAGCCATATTTTGTGGGTCAAAAGAAAATAAGACCCTGTCTTATTTTCGGGGAAACATGGTATCCCGTAGAACATTAGAATGTTAAGATGTGGTTTACATATAGTTCTGAATCAGTTATTACAAAATAAATTATCTAATCAATTATAACGCAATGACCACAAAAACTAATATCAATTAATGGAAAGGCTACGAGCTGACTAAAATTAATAGCATTTGTTACTTTAGACAGAGTTGAACTATATATTGTCTTGTTAGCTTAATGCTTATTTTTCCATATATGTTTATAAACACATAATTTTAATTTCAAAACTATCCTTTCTTGATAAAAGCAGTAATTCTGCACAAACTAGGGAATAAATCTAGTGTAAATAATGGTTTTTAATTTTGAGTAGTGATATGTGGGATTGTATTGCATATGTTTATAAATATTTATGGCATCTTAAAATATATTTGGGTATAAGCATAAAAATCTCTATCAAAATTTTTCCCTCTTTTCAGGCAAAACCAAAGCTAATAGAGCCAATAGACTATGAAAATATAATTGTTCAGAAGAAAACTCAAATAATCAACGATTGCTTGCGTGAGCTGCTACTTTTTCCATATGACGATTTCCAGGTACTTTTTATTTTTTATGAATCTTGAATTAAATTTATTATACAATATTATAATACTAAGGCTTGGAAGAAAATAATTAAGATAATCTATCTGATCTACAAGTTTCTAATATTCTACAGCTGTGTGGATTAGGTACATCATAAATAAATGAAAAAATGAATCAAGTCAAAGTAAATTTCAATGGGTTTGTTAGTTCACTGCTCATAATAGTTATTGGTGAAGTATTGTTATCTTTCTGTTTTTGAGCTTAACCTGATTGTTGATTATTTCTTTTAAAGTCTTAAACAGGATAGGACTAGATCACCTGATATGACTCATTTTATATCCCTTCTCAGTTTTGGAAATCCAATCATCTCTTCGGGGAATTAACCCAAAGTCACTTGTGGGTTTTTAAGTGATGTGGAAACACAGCTATTTAAAGACAGCCTTTAGAAACAGATAGTTTAACAGTGGATGGATAAGTGTGTTTGTTGGTCATTTTCCTAGTGCTGTTTGTTTGGGTTTTTTTTCTTTTTTTCCTGGGACATGATCATATTGATCTATAGATCTATGTTGATGTTATTGTATATTCTGACATAAATCTGATTTTCATTGTTAATCCTAGTTTTGAAAGTCAACTCCAATTTGTTTATGACTTTGTGATCATTAGCCACAAAGAGTGTCCAAAGAGCCAAGGAGTGTTTAAAAGCTCAATATGGCAAGCAGGCTAGTTGATCTGAAAAATTAACAGGGGAAAAAAAAGACCCAAGGCTTATGAAACTAATTTTACTCTTATAAGTAATTTTTGAGCCAGTAGAGAATGTCAACTCTTAAGTCTACTTTGGCCAAATGTTCAATGCACAAACAGAATTGATGAAGAGATATCATTCGAGATAGATTAGATCATCCAACAGAAAGCAAGAATGGAATTTTCAGTATCCTAGACATAACAGTCATGACCTATGATTGTGAAGCGTAAAATCTAAGAAAATCAGAAGTGGAAAAGCTTCAAATATTTCAAATTGACTACCTATATGAGCTGGAGAGATGAATTACAGAAAAATCTTGGACTTAACTGAATCTTTAAAACATTTATTGATATGTAATACGTCATGACCCAGACTTTAGATTCACATTCAGATTCTGCTCCAGCTAAGTATATGGAATATCAGCCTCAGGAGAGACAGAGACAGACATCACATGAGGCTGATCAATCACAAGCACTACCTGAACAGCTGGACCTGTCAGGTGATGATGACATAAGGTCTCCCAGTCCTTGCAGTAGATAGGTGGAAAGGAGATAGAGCAGAATAATTCTGTTAGGTTACTCGCCAAACAATGGAGTAAACATTCTAATTAGTGACAGCTGGCTGCAGCCTATAAAAAAGATATGATTTACCTTTGTTCTCTTTGCTGGAAACAATGTCTGGTTCATGCATGACTCCTGTGTGTGAATTCTACTCTTGGACCTTAGATGCTTGGACTAGCTGACAACTTGGACAGATTCCTGAAACTTTAGATAATTCTTCTCCATGATCCTCTTTGAAAACAAACTTCACATGCAAGCCTTTGTGGTGTTTGACATTGCTTACTACCGTACTGTTGCTTGAAAGTAAAACTCATAACCTCCCCCCCCCCCAAAAAAAAAACTTTATATTGGATTGTGGCTGAAATCTCAACAGGACACAATACAAATATCCGTTGCTTCAGGCAGAGAACCTACCTGAATAAATATAATGACTGAAGATTTCATACCAGTCTAACAATGCCTAATTATATGTCACTGCTTGAATAGATAAACAAATTTTTTGTATAGCTCGAAGAATCTGTAAGCAGAATGAACAAATCGTTGTAGCCCAAGACAATAACAGTAGTCTTCAAAATCAAGTTGTTAGCAGTAGTTGTTAGTAGAAAAAGTAACTGGTTGAATTGATATTTAGTCATTTTAAAAATGTTACAAATGACCATCATTCTTGCTATGTTGAGGGAAAATGATTTAAGAAGATTGAACAATACAATTAAAATATTTTAGAAACTGTCTGAAGCAGCAGTAGAATACATAGCAACATATAATGAAACAATATAGGCAGTGGGAGATAGGAATTTATAGATCTGTCACTAGTACTTTGGGGAAAAGAATTGGCAGATTGAAGAAAGGTCTGCTTTTTGCAGATAACTGCAACAGAATGAAGAGCTGCTGAGTAGATGACCAGCTCTTTTACAATTCCTCCCTGGACAAGAAGAGTACTTGAGATTACCAACAAGTTTTTGAGACAATTGCTTCTTGTGAGGAGACCACAAACAACAGTCTCTAGTGGGTTTAGAGCTCTGGGAGATGAGGGAATAAAGATCTTGCTTAAACTGTAGTCATTACCTTTGAAAGAACACTGGGTTCACATATTTTGTTTTCTAATCACTTTCAGAAATTGCTTGTTAACTGCCTTTATTAGGAACCTTTGGATTAACAGGTTTTTATAGCACCAGATGAGTTTCCTTGAATCCTTAGTGAAAGAAGTTTTAAATCCAAGATTAAGAATTTATGTTTTTGGGAATGAACTGCAAAAGAGTGATTAAAACTTTGATTTTAGAAAGTTCCACATGGGGGCCCAGATAAATTTGAAACTATTTTCACATAGGGGTTCAGATAAATGTGAAACAAAGCTTTTTGGAATTACTTATTAAAATGTTTTTGTTTTGAAGTTTTTTTTCCCAAAATAACAATTTTAAAATTAGTTAGTAGCAGAAACCATAAGGAAGTAAAGATTGCAATTAAAGGAGGAGACATTCAAATTCAATTTACAATTATAGAAAAAAAAGCAAAATATTTTAACACTGGACATGTTGAAGGATATTTTTGAACAGTTAAGTTCAAAATTTTAAGAGTGTCTGCCTCTATAGATAGACTCTAAAAGATTTTACAGAAGAGGACAAGTTTTACATTACAAAACTCAGACTGATTTAGAAGTGGATTGAAAAGTGACTGGCTACAAGAATGACACGGAAAAAGGTAGCACACTGGATACTGGCCAACATTTTAAGAATTAAACAGATATACAAATAACAAACCAAAAGCGTAACCTGGATAATTTTCCTATATTGGATTCATAAATTGTTAAAGCTTTGAGTAAAGAAACAAAGAAAAAAGAAAAAGACATTCTAAGACATTAGTTGAATAGCTAAAGATCCAGATTTTTAGATGTACTAGAAAGGAATTAAAATTGGTTTATGTTATATCTTGTTATATGTTGTTATTACATGTTATTTCTGGTAAACTTCAATGGAGTTTTGCTATGCCAGATTTGAATATCTATGGAGACTCTCAATTATCTGTGTCATAGTTGCCCCAAATTTGCTTTTCCAAAAGGGAACTGGATGTTTTGGGTTTTTTTTTTTCCTTGAAAACATTTTGCTTCTCATCATCTAAGAATAGAGTTTCTTGGATGAGAAGTGAAATGTTCTCCATAGTGGTGGAGGCAACATCCAAGCTGGGTTAACCTTCATCCACGCATTGCGAGGATTGAGTCTGGTAAAGTTGTTAAGCCTCGCCCCTGTTGCTAGGCAACCCAGCTTTTTGACTCAGTCCCTCGATGAGGAAGTGTGCGTCATCGTCTTTCTCCGGACATAAAATCGTTGGATTGTTATTTTAATGAGTTTGTGAGTAAGTTGTCACGAATTGAATGAGACAGTGACCCCGTTATCAGAAGTCCCTGGCAGGGACAGTGATTTGGAAAGGGGTCTGAGCCTCTAAGCCCTGTCAGGGCGTGTAGGCTGTCGCTAGGGCTGGAGTGGCTGTAACGGCTGCAAATGGCTTCCCTCGCCTCAAAATGGACGCCGCTTGCTTTGCCTTTGGCTTCAAGTTTCTAACTGCCCTTTCATCCCATTGGAGGTGTTAATTGCTCCCTCAGCTCCCTGCTGGGAACACGCTCCGCCGCTCCTGTCAGACAGTTGAGCGATGAACCACAGCAGCTCCGTGACTATATTACAATCAAAATACACGCTGCCGCGGAGCGACCCAGAAGGAAAGTTAAAGGGAAGAAGATCATAAAAATTCCGATTGGAGCTCTGCTAAAGTGACTGTGCGAACAGCGTTAATATCGATCTTATTGTTTTTAACACGGGCTGCATGGCAGTTTAAAAAGGACGTGAATCGCCATTTTGAGAGGTTCCTGTCAGTCTCTGCCAGTGGCGAGCATGGCAGCCACTCTTAATGCTGAAACTTCCATGACGGTGCCAGAGTTGCCTGGGGAGGCACAAGTAATTCAGTCACTTGAAGGGGCCTCAGCGCTTCATTCCTCACCCCAGTCCTCCACAGCTGATGGCAGGGAATCAGGCAAGACTAGCAAGAAAACTGTGCGAACCGCAGTTAAAGCAAAAAAATAAAAAAAATCATCTAAGCCCAGTTCGTACTATGAAAAGCAAAAGGACAAAGCGCTAGAATGTATTTATAAGAGAGCAGCCAGTAAAAAGGCTTCTTCCACCCAGCCATCGGATCAGCCACCTCCAGTTCAAGGCCAATTATCATTGCTGCTTTCCCCAGGAGGCAGGCAGAATAGGGAGGCTCCTCTTAATCCCATCTTCCTTATTGGTGTCTCAAATATCTGGGGGCCTGCTCAAGAGCCTCAGGCCCTTCTGCCTATCAGGGATGACATGCTTCTCCCAGCTGTCCAGAGAATGAATGCGCTCCCATCCACCTCCAGCACAGCAATTCTGGGTCAGGCACATCCAATGTATTTGCCTAACTTGCCCTATGATATGCCAGTGCCATATCATAGGGCATCACAGCAGGGTTGCAACAATGGGATGCCCTGGCACAAAGATAGGCTACTGCCCCTGTGGCAACACCACCGGCTCCTACTCCAGTGGCACCCCCTGCAGGGCAGGTGGTATCTAAGCAGGAAGACCAGGATGATTCCTCTGAATCAGAGGAGGGCGAGCTCAAGGAAGCTGAGCTATCCGAG